TTACTGTTATGAATAAAATACATCATGAAAAAAAAATCACATGACAATAATGTATTTGTTTAGGTACCGTGAAACCCATCTTATATGAAGGTCCGACTTTGACACTTTTAGGCCTTAGGCCTTGTGCAAAAAACAAAACGCGATCCTGTAAATCTTTATATATATATATATATATGTATGTATGTATGTATATATACATATGTATGCATATATATATCATATGTAGAGGAACGATCAAATGCAAACTACCTCATTTTGTGCAAACCCTACAAATCAATCTCATCCATCCATTTTCTTGATCAATAATCGTGATTAAAATATGTTATATTAGGAAAGTGAAAATAAAATAAAAGATTTAATATTTAATCAAGAAAAGACAAAATTGGCAAACCATTTTTGGAAGTTGTATCTCATCAATAAAAACATTTTGGAAATTGTATTTCATTTTTCTGTTAGTGAAATTTGTTTCATTGTTCGTCTGTATAATAAAATTTGAGCCAGATATGTTTAGTCAATGAAACATTTTCCAAAAATATGAATAACATGTTTCGTTAATGAAATTCGTTTCATCATTGAAATTGGTTTCATGGACTCCACAATTCCAAAAACTGAATGACATTCTTCCAACAATGAAAATTATTGAAATGTTTCATAACCAAAATGGAATCGATTTCATGGTTTCTAACCAAGATGAACTCGGTTTTACATATAAAACTAAATATTGTTCAGTCAATGAAACACTTCAAGAACCGAATAATAATATTTCATTCATTTTTAAATTTGTTTCATGTTTCCTAACCAAGATGAAATCAGTTTCATGGTTTTATAGCCAGGATGAAATTGATTTTATTAATAAAACTAAATATGGTTCAGTCAATGAAACATTTCAAGACCAAAATACTATTATTTCATTAATGAAAGTAGTTTCATGGTTCCTAACCAAAATGAAATTCGTTTCATTTTTCAAAAAATTTGAAAACTTTATAACGTGGTTTCGTTAATGACATTTGTTTTACGAATGAAAAAAAAACATTATACTCAAAATCTGAAAAACATCACAACTATATTATTAATAAATCAGTAATTACTTGTAAATTGAAAAAAATACCGATTCTTTTCTTACTATGACAATGAAATAAATAATTTCATAAGAAATATATTATTACAAATAGACTTTGTAATTGATGTAGTATTTTTAATTTAATAAAAGAATATAAACTCAATTGGTTTACACTTATTATGCATTATATGAAATTGTTTCACTATTTCATTTATAGTTATTGAAACATGATTAGACGGTTAATTATTTGTAATCAAATTGATTTTTGGAGTATAGTTTTACAATTCATATTTTAAGAGTATAATTTAATAAAAGAATATAAGCTATTAATGATAATAATTATATATTAAAATAAATCGATTTACAGCTTCCATAAAAACAGTTACTATATTTAATTTTTCATATTTAAAAATAATTAAAACATTACCAAGATTAACCATTACAAATGAAAATGACATTCATACCCTTATTCATTAAAAATAAAGAATAAAACATGGAATTTTCCTATTGTTGAAATTGGTTTCTATAGTTTGCATGAAATAGGCAGTTTGCAATCTAATCCTTCTCTCTCTCTATATATATATGTATGTATGTATGTGTGTGTATATATATATGTGTGTGTGTATGTGTATATATATATAGACTTGAGATCATGTGAGACCAAAAGTTTTTCATAAGACTCGTAAAACCAATTCTCAACCCTAATATTTAGATCTACAATCTGAATATTCATAATCACAAAATTGGCACGAGACTTCTCAATAATCACAAAATTGCCACCGTACAACTTTAGACCATTAGATCATTAGCTTATAAAGTTGATCAATGAACATAAATTGGTCTTACGGGTCTCACAAAAAATCCTTGGTCTCATGTGAACCCAACCCTATATGTATGTATGTATGTATGTATGTATGTATGTATGTATGTATGTATGTAGACTTGGGATCATGTGAGACAAGACTGTTTTTGTGAGACACAATTTTTACACTTAAAACTTCACAGCAAAAGACTGTGAAGGTGTTGCGAGATTTATATGATGATAAAATCTCTCAGACTGTATGCAAATGGAGACTCATGCAAGTATACACATATCAATCCATTGTCGTCTTTTACAAGTAATAAAAATGGTAAGATACCGAATATCGATCCACAGGGAAAAATGTATTAAAAGTTTTAGATAAAGTCCAGAAAAATATTAGATTTCAAATGGCGATTTTGAAGAATTGTTTTTGGTTTGGTAACTTAAAACTAAATGATGCAAGTAATTAATTTAAAAGAAAACAAGGGTGTAGGGATCAGTTAAGATTTTTGGACAAACAAATCAGATAGAACTTTGTAGATAATAACTTATCTTTAACCAACTATCAACTTGTGTAAGGTACTCTCTCGAGGTTGAGAAGGACACTTATCCAAGGTCCGATTCTAATGTTTCAAAAAAAAAAAAAAAAAAACTAGTCATGACAATGGCACAATCTATCTCTTGTATAAGTTGTATAATATGAAAAGAAGTTTCCTTGATTCTAAATAACTTTCTCAAGTATGCTTCCGTATTATTCAAGTTGATGTGTTCAGGATAACTTATCTCTAAGTCCATCAAACTGTTAATATTTTTCTTCAAAAATCAACTTATCAAAAGAGATGTAATTTTTATCAATATAACCTTGAATAAATGGTCGGAAAGATTTGCTAATGTTTAACAAATTTCTATCATCAAAATCGATCTTTTATCTTAGCATTATTCTATACCCAAACTAAGGTTGTCAGCCTATCATTGCTCGGGATCCTTGCATATCTATTTAAAAAAACGAGAAAAGAAATTTTTATAGAAAGAAAGTTTTACGACAACTAAAAATTTAAATAATTGTAAATTAAAGACTACAAGGAATTAAAATAAATAACAAAAGTAAATACTGTACACATGAATGGTTATTAGAAATAAGAAAACATGTTCAATTACTTTAATGCACATGTACATACTGTACACATGAATGGTTATTAGATGTTTCTTAGTTTTCCATCTTTTTGTTGTTTTTGTGAACCTCGGGTTCACGTGAAAAAATGGAAAATTGAGAAACACCAAAATACCCATTCATCTATATGGTATGTACATGTGTAAAAAATAATTTGTCCCGTATGCACACATGCATAAAATGCAAACATCCATAATAGAAATCAAGAAATATTTTCCATTACTTTTATACACATGTGCATACCGTACAAATGAATGATTATTAAAATGTCCACAATTTTTCTTTATGTGGTTTCCCCTGAACCTGCGTCTGTTATACTAATGGGTAATGGATAACGAAAAACTGTTTATTCATACTTACCCACTTAAATGTCAAGTAAGCGAGTAGTGGATAAATGGATAGAATTTCCTTACCTATACCCTCATACAACGGTTGAAACATAACGAATTATGGGTTACCCTAACCCATTGTCAGCCCTACATCTATATCGATATAGTTCTTCATTGTTCTTCGGTTCTCTTTCCTTAAGTGATAAACAACTTACGGAAATATATATAAAAAGTTCAAGTGATTAACAAAACACAGATGTTTTAAATCATAATCAGAATCAACGTCATACCGAGTAACCGAAAATAAAATACTGCATCTACTTTAAGAACAACTCGAAACAAATATTCTTGTAATATATTGGAAGTAAATGCATAATTTCTTAAAAAAAAAAGGAAATATTTTACAAAGATCGAAATTTAAATTAACGCAGATAAAATCAAAAAATTTACAATTATCATCAGATCGAGAAGATAGTACAACTGTATCAATAAATGACAACCATATTTCTAATAATGACTTAAGAAGTGGGCTCTACTTGGTCGCATAATAGTTCAATTAAAAAACACCTTTTTACTTGCTCTTGAAAATCAGTTATTGAAAATTTATAAAAATTGAGATCAGAAAATAGATAAGCATTACTGATTTTTAAGTTGACGAAACTTAGAAAATTCGGTTTTTGATTTAGGTCAATGGTTTAAGGATCAGATGGACGATTGAAAAATCATAATATTAAAAGAAATGGCCTATACGGCAGTACCAGTGGTCTATTAGCCCATTAATTTTTTTTTTTTGTCTATGTCCAAAACATTATAATAAAGTTAATTAATTTTAAGGTCGAAAACATTTATTTATAAATAGTTGTGATGGAAAAAGAGAAACATTATAATAAAGATAATGTTTTAAATCCAATAATAATAATTTAAAAAGTCACCTCATTTGACTATGATTCCAAGATAAGATTGCAATTATTATAAAAGTTAGACAACTTTACTATTCTCTCTTTTCAGAAGCCCTACCCAAAGTTGAAATCAAAAAGGCGTCACACTTCTATTTTGGATGGATGCAAAATCAGCTCTATAACTTGAAAACAAACTGTCTGATTTTTAGAAATAGACATTTTTCAAACTCTAGATGCTGTCTTTGGAAACCAATCAGAACAACATTTACATCTCACCAATCTAAACCCTAATTTAGAAATCCAAATCTAAACCATAATTCAAAATGCCAAATAAAATACGAGGTCCAAGTGGTTGCAGACACAAATTTTTGTTATACGAGACTTTATTTACCCTGACAGTAGAATGATATAGATATCACATCAAAACAATATCATCCAAAAAAGAAGCTGTAATGAAATTTTACAGCTGATTTGGTTAAGATGGTTGCAAGTGTAAATTTAGGGATAGTTGAAGGATGAAGACTTGTTCATGGTCTGAATAAGGATCAAAAACATTAAAATAATATGAATGAACACGATGGGTCAAAATTCAATGATTGGATGATCCAATTTGATAAAATTTCCCTTTTACAATGATGCCACTTTTTCCCCATAATATTATTCTAAAACCTTTTATCTCCGATTTTGTGAATCAGAGGATTTCCCCATATAGAAATTGTTTCCATATATAGCTTGCTTTCTTCCTTCCCCACCCCCTTTTCATTCGCCGGCCAGCCTGCCGCGAAAAGGACAACTCTGGAATTGAGTTGTTCCGACGTGCAACGGCTGCTTTCTGTTTATGATTTCTATACCCATTTCAACAATTCCAAGTAGATTTTGTTGTCGTCGAGAAATCTTGTGGTTATATTTAAGGGATACCAGTCCACTGTAAGTGTTCATCTTACTTGATTTTGATTTCGATTTTATTTTCTGCTAATTCGTCGATTGGGCGTGATGTTTTTAGTTTATTTCGGCTCTGCAATGTTTTCCTGATTTGGGTTTTGATGCATTCCTTATTTTGACCTTTTTGCAAGTGTAATTTCTAGCAGGAAGTTGTAGATTTTCGCTTAGAACCAAATCATTTTCTGTTTTATTGATTGAATTTGCGTTTGAAATCGGGGGAGTTCTTGGATTTGCGTTTTAATTTGTTTTGGGTGGGATCGTTTTGTAGTTTTTGAGATGGGATTGAGGATCTGCAACTAAGAAGCCATTGAAATCAACTGGTATCATCCATCACATTGGTTGGTATTGTGAATGAAAACCAGAGTGGCGGTGGTGATAAAAGAACAGGTGATGGTCAAATGGTGATTAATGTAGTAAATCTAGGGTTTATGAGACTTCTTTTTTGAAATTATGACTTTTAATTTCTTTCAGGTGGGATTTCTGTGATGGACCTAAGGTTTCGTCACTCGGGATCAACGCCATCAGAGGAATCAGCTTTGGACATGGAGACTTCACCATTAGAGTCTTTTGCCACCACATCTGCTGGTCAACTCTCGGAGACCAATGCAGCATACTTCTCGTGGCCTACTTCTTGCCGTTTGAACGATGCTGCTGAAGATAGAGCTAATCATTTCGACAATCTTCTAAAGGGAGTTTTGCCCGAAAGGATCGGTCAACTGCCTACCGGGGAGCGAGCCGTTACTTTGCTTGAACTCATGACAATAAGGGCATTCCATAGCAAAATCYTGMRSCRAKKTAGTCTTGSYACTGCAATTGGRTTCMGKATYCGAMGGGGKTTRCTGACMGATATACCWGCCATTCTWGTCTTTGTYGCTCGTAAGGTTCACAGGCAGTGGCTCAGCCACATCCAGTGTCTGCCATGTGCTCTTGAGGTTTTTAACTCTATGGGCATTTCAATTTACTTTGATGTCTTAGTCTTGTTAGGATTGAACACATCGTATTTTATGTGGTTTTACAAGTATATCTTATAAAGAAAAACACTATTTGTTGTGACATAAGTGTAGATACATGATAAGAGACAATATCATAATAAGAAACAAAACCAGATAATAAAAGGACAAGACAGGAAGACTGTCATCCTTAGCTGTTTATTACCCATTTCTTCACGTAAATAGCCACTTCACTCCTTGGGGGGTAGAGGTCAGATCTGCATACATCCCACCCCCCAACCCCACGTCCAAGTGGGATATACAGGGATTGTTTGGTTTATCAAATTAGCTATAGAAAAGAAAGTTAAACAAGACGAGGGTCTTCAAGGAAACAACCTCTCTACCCTTAGGGGTAGAGGTATGGCCTGTTTACATCATACCCACCCCAAACCCTAGCTCCAAGTGGGATATACCGGGTTCATTTGGTTTGATTTATCCAACAAGTCTTTCAGTGTACAATTGAAGTTGGTTATGATCACTGTGAGTAAATTGCCATTAGTTTCTATTCTAGAAACCTTGTACTATTTGCAAAGCTAGAGTATGAGCATTATATGGAAATTTATAGACTAACTCAATAGGTTGAACAGGGACCTGGGGGTGTGTGGTGTGATGTTGATGTCGTGGAATTCTCATATTATGGTGCACCGGCAGCAACTCTGAAAGAAGAATTCTATACAGAACTTGTTGATGGCTTGCGAGGAAATTTTCCGTGCATTGGTTCTGGTTCCCAGGTACCTCTCCGTGGCCATTCTTGTTCCTTGTCGCTGTTTCGAGTCTGTTTTGTATGTTGTTGTCATGTAAGATATTAACTTTCAGAAATCATCGATGCAGATGTCTTCCACATGAATGTGTGTCTTTTTTAAATCTGATTACTCAAACCCTTTTGTTGAATGAACTCACATCGTTATTTAATAATGATGTGATAATTTTCCAACATGCAAAATTGCAGGAAAATCTGTTGTATTGAAGAGAAGTGACAAGTTCTTGGTTAGATGGTTCACCAACTAAAGCTTGATGATGTCAAATTGCATCATTATCATAATATTGTAATTTATAGACATTGGCTTTAATGTCTCAATGATCGTTAGAAGTTTTAATTTTTTATACTGCAAGTGCATGCTGCTGTCACATACGAGTCGACCAACCAATCTCAGATTATGAGTTACCTACATGATTGATGGGGTTTTTTTTTGCCAACTAATCTAAGGACAACAAACATTTGAAATACATCTTAAAACAAAGATGATGAAAATAACTAGGATTGGGAACCCTCGATCTACAAAATGAGCCATACAATGAATCATACACAATGATCAACTTAACTAGGTTAAGGAGAGAAATTGCGTTAAATTACTAAAACCCTCTTTCAAGATGAGAAAAGCCTATCCTTCACAAATCATATTTACTTTCGTAACATTTGAAGTGATAAAACATTAAGACTAAGCCACTATGGTTATCGACTAATGTTCCAGATGAAGGTTGGAAAACCTATTTCGAGAAAAGATCGCAAAAATCACAAAAAGGTGATTGATAGCATATTAAAGTTAATTGATATTCTAAATAATTTTCTTTTCTCTTAGGAAAAGTTTCCATGGAACAACTTATAAATAGAGCGTAGGGGTGGGCATGAGAAGGCATGAAATTTCATAGTACCTATAGTTTATTCACTAGCATTTTGGGGGAGCCTACTGTTTTGTTACGTTTCAATTGTTTATGCTATCAATATCAAATTGGTATCAGAGCAATGATCACGGGACTGTTCACGGTTACTATTCATCGCATCACTATTCATGGTACTGCTCACCGACATTATATAACGCAACACTGCTTACCCGAACTATTCACGACCATGGTTTTGAAAAGCGTGTAAGGCATACGCCTCGAGCCGAAGCGGCCCAAAATGGCACTTGAGATAAACTGGAGTATATATAAGATAGACTGGTGCTAAAACCTTTTCTCAAGATATCTTCCAAGCACTTCTCAATCCCCATACGAGACTTGTGCCTCAGTTGTATGAGGCGGTGACTGAGGCAATGTAGAGGCAATGTAGAGGCGTATACCTCAGTATAGAGGCTAAATTATTAAAAAAATGACTGAAACCTTCGCTATTTTTTTTGATAACCTTGTTCTTCTTTGGTTCTCCTAAGCCTTTCTGCTACTCATCTGTTGTGCTTCGTGAGTTCTAGTTTTTCTTCGATTTTTCTCCAATCTCCAGTTCACCAGAGTATTATGCATATGTATATATTGGATACACTTCTTTTACATTGTGTCTCTATTACGTGTCAGTCACAGTCACACTTCTACTCCCACTTTGTTGATACTTTTTTATTTTTTTCTTTATGAGCTGTGAGCATACTAATATATATATATATATATATATATATATATATACATATGTATGCATATATATTAATAGATCAATATTTTTTTCTTTGTCACTAATCTATGTTTCGTGATTGAAAGAAGTGTTGTAGATTCTTTTAGTAATTTAGTATGATATATATTGTGTCTAGTAATCAAGTTTGTGTATATATATATTGCATATATGTTCTATGTATAAGCAGTAGAATGCAGATTGGTATAAATATATATCCGTATATATTTCCGCCTTAGGGCTTATGCCTCGTCACGTTGAGGAAAAACACCTCGAGGCCCAATTTCACCTTTTAAAACCTTATTCACGGCATGCCACCAAAGAAAAATGATCGGCTAGAGGAGAAGTTCAAAACCGAGGTGTTGCAGTAGAAGGCCACGATGGACGAGCCTAGAAGTCGTGGAACAACAATTCACATCCAAGTTCTCGACAATGGAACTACTGCTCACGAAGATTTTGAACAAACAAGCGGATGCACAAAAGACTGCTTTCTGAACGCATGAGGGGTATTATGAGTTTTGGTGATGCCCTTTCAGATTTACCAATGCCCCATCCACATTCCAATCCTTGATGAATCAGGTATTTTGGCCATATCTACGAAAATTTGTTTTGTGTTCTTTGACGATATCTTAGTATACAGTCAAAATGGGAAAAATCATATATGACATTGGAAATAGTACTTGGAGAACTATTGAAACTATGCAAATGGGAAGAAGTGGTCGTTCAGCCAACAAGCAAAAGGTGGAATATTTAGGCCTCATGGTATCGACAGAAGGGGCTTAAGCAAACCCTACTAAGATCTTGACCATGTTGAATTGGCCGACACCAAAGACCTTGGGACTTTAGGGATTTTTGGGCCTTATGGGGTATTATAGGAAATTCGTCATGGTATATCGCACGATCACGGGCCCCTCACAGAACAATTGAATTTGAAAAGCTAAAACATGGAATGGCCACCTTTTTGGTGTCGATCCTATCGGATTTTCCATCAACCGTTCGTAGGGGAAACATATTTGTCTGGCTATGGGTTGGGCGTAGTTCTTATGCGAGGCAAGTGATCGGTAGCCTATTTCAGCCAAGTGCTAACAAGGAGACCCTGCCTCAAGTTGGTATACGAGCGGGAGATAACGGTGATTGTATTAGCCATTCAGAATTAAGAGGCCCTACCTATTTGGTAGGCAATTTGTCATCTGCATGGATCAAAGAAGTTTGAAGTTTGTATTGGAGCAAAGGATGGTGAGTGAAGAACACCAACATTGGCTTTCCAAACTATTGAGATACAATTTTGAGATCCCGTATAGGCCATCACTCGAGAACAAAGCAGTAGAGGCACTTTCAAGGGACGAGGAAGAAAACCAATTAATGGCCCTATCGGTGCCAATGGTGGTCAATATGGAACCACTGATGAGAGAATCGAGGCGGATGATGGGCAATAATGGATTTGAATAGCGTTAGAGCAGGGAGAGGGTGGGCATCTCGGTTACACCATAAGTGGACAAGGGTTGTTGTACCGAGGAAAGTTAGTCATATCACACACATTAACGTATATCCCGAGTTTGTCACAAAAGAGTTTCATGGGAGTGCCATTGGTGAGCACTCGGGGGTCTTGAAGACTTTGGCTGTTGAATTATACTGGGTGGGCATAAAAAATATGTCAAAGAGATGGTGGCACCATCTGATGTATGCAAATGACACAAGCATCTAGCCATGTCTCTGAGTGGCCGTCTACAACTTTTACAATTACCAAATAAAGTCAGGGAGGAAGTGGCCATGGATTTCATCGGGGGCTTACCTCGGTCGGAGGGCTACATCGTGATATTGGTTTTTGTTGATTGCCTGAGCCAATATGCCAATTTCATCCTCTTATGACATCCCTATCACCACCACCATCACAGTTGCCATCGTCACAACCGATGTCAAGTTGCCACCTCCTCCACCGCCAATTAATATTATTATTATTTTTAGCATTATATAGTATTTTGGTCATTGATCAGTATTTTATTACAATTTATGTAGTTGGGTTGTACAAACTGAACAAATATATTCTATTTCCTTTGACATATTCCATTACATTTCTACAAATCAAATGCATGATCAAACTTCACTAAATTCCATTCCATTTCCTTCAGGTGGCATTTGGTTCACAGAATGGAATTTCTCGAAAGAATTGGAATGGAATTTGTTAAAAGAATTGGAATGAAATTTAATTATGTTTGACCATACATTTGGTTGGCATGATTGGGATGGAATTTGTCAAAAGAATTTAAATTTGTCCATTTGGTTCGTTGAATAGAATAGTGGATGTGGGGTGGAGGCGGTAGCGGTGTAGGTGGTAGTTGTGGTGGTAGTAGTAGCGGGGGCGGTGGTGGTACGGGTGAAGGCGACAGTGGTAATGACGGTGATGGCTATGTTGGAGGTAGCGGCAACGGCGGCAGCGGTGGCAAATGTGGTGGTAGATGGGGTGGTGATGACTGTGGTGGTGGTGGGGGGAGTGAAGGCGACAGTGGTAATGACGGTGTTGGAGGTGGCGGCAACAACGATAGTGGTGATGACGGCGGTGACATCAATCGTGGTAGGATGGAATGGAATTGAGTAAATATAAGCGTATGATAGTTTTTTCCCTTAAAAGATGATATGAAGGAATTTAGAACCCAAGGAATTTACATTCCACCATATGTGGAATTTGAATTACTTACCAAAACTCAAAGAATGAACCAAACGTGGGAATGGATTTATTCAAAATCCTTCAGATTCCGCCGGATTCCAACGAATCAAACGCCACCTTAGACTCCAATTCCTTTGATAGATTTGAGACCCAACAGATTCTGTTCGGTGCACCAATGCTACCTTACTCTTTCCTTACCGTAAGGACAACTTCTCCCACCTTACAACTTATGGGGGAAGTTGTTCTTACGGTAACTTACCTCATAATACCATCTCGAGTTCTTAAGTTTCAATTCATGATAATCCTATTGAAGCACATATGAAAGGTGTGTAGAGAATTTTGAGGTACTTGAAAGGAAATCCTGGGAATGGAATATTCTTCAAGAAAAACAAGAGAAACGTAGAAGGAAGTGGTTGTTACTTCTTTCTTAAATAGCCGTTGTAATTATGATATTCATTAATAAGATACGGATTTTTTCCACTAAAAACTCTCATATACTAATCAATAACCTGAAATTAACCATAATTTTTACTTAGTGATTCATTTTCTCATGGACACAAATCAATATCAAAACAAATCAATCAGCCTCACTAAATTCCTTATCTCAAAAGTTACATCAATTTCGTGAGAAGATCAGCACTTGTAGACTTGAGGAGCAGCCAAAAAAGGGAAAGCTGTGGAAACGGCGAATGGCATTCAATAATTCATCCATTCCGCAAATGGATTTAACCCAATTCCAAACATCAACTTATTCAATTAATCAAAATCAAAATAAACAAAATCCCAAAATGCATGAATCTAAATATGAAAGTGAAATAAGCAAAGCACCAACTTTGCATAAATCTAAATATGGCAAGGAGATGTAATATAGGAATCAACAACTACAATGCGAATAAGTAAAAACATAATAAAGCATGAATCTAAAAAGGGGGAAAAGAAATAGAATATGGAAATACATTACAGACATTAAGCTTTCGTAGGATAGATGATTACAAGCATAGATCTTCAACATCGAATGCATTCCCATGGTTATTCAATAGGAAGGGGGCATAATGGAAAGAAGAGAAAGAAAGCCTAATCTAGAATATGATGAGATCACCCAAACTCTTTTCTAACAGTTATATTTATACATAGGGTGAAGATGTGTGAAAAACTTAAGAATTAAGATACCCCTCTAAAAATTCTCAATTTTCAGCTTTTACGAGCCCATACATGATTGTGTTGCTAATCACCCAATTGTGCAGAAAATACGTAAGAAATGCATCTATGCACCTCCCACACGATAGAGCGAGGCAAGCCTAGCATATGACATGATCATGTCATGTGCCCAAAGGGGTGATCTTCGCTTTCTTTGCATGCTTCGATCCTTGCGCATGTCCAGCCATGCTTGGTTCTCCTTATATGCTCAGAACTCGCCGTTTTGGGCTTGTTTCCATGATGATGCATGCTTATTTGAATCCACATTAAAAGATGTCATCATTCTATCTGTTTCTTCGTCTAAAACATGTCACTCGAGCATCGAAATGATCTGAAAATCAACGAAAACCACGAGATTGCGAGGGATAAATGATGCAAATGTAATGCAAGAATAACGGAAGGGGATGAAATGATTAGTGAAATGCAAAAATGGTCAATATTGTGAAGTTTTCCAATTTGATATATTTTCGGACAAAGGTAGAGAGCCAATAGATAGGATAACAATGTCCTGATATGGTTGGAGACTAGAGGACCTAGTCCTAGTACTTCGTTTTAAGTAGTTTGCTGTTCTAGTATTTTATCCTCGGCTTTATTTGCTCTATCTGGTTTTATTCTTTTTTTTTTCTCATATATGTCCTTACTGTTGTTTCTGTTTACTGTCTTTGTTGTCCTTGCTGAAATTTTCTACTTGTTTCTCCCTTGGTCAAAGTTTGAAGCAAAAACATATCTATATGCACGCTATAGTTACTACAAGATTAATTATTTCCGTGTCCCTTCATTAAAAGAGATTTTTGTTTTGGTTTGCAAGATCCTCGTAAATGGTCATTATGAAAATGTATTGTTAGACATTTTTGGGTACCACTTTATGGTCGATGTGAACTTTGTCACTCCTCTCATGTTTACTTGGTTCTGATAGCTTACTCATTTACTCATAATTGCAACAGCCTTGCTCTCATTGTTGGAGATACATGCTATGTTTCTAGTCAACAAGTTTCCTTTGACATCATTTATAAGCCATTCAAGAAACTGTTAAACTCGTATGACCACCAGCAATTATTCTCTGATTAATAGAATTGGACACTCTCTTGGTTCTCCAACTTTTTATGTTATGTGATTATAATTTGCTACAAATCGAATGCTCATCCTTAATTCACTCCTTGTATCTCAAAACAGACTAGTGACTTCTTGCTTCCTTAGGTTGCAAGCCAAAGCAAATGTGGTACTATTGGTGCCATTGTTAAAAGCCGAACAGGAAACCGGCAGGTTGGGTTTCTCACAAATAGGCACGTGGCAGTTGACTTGGATTATCCAAACCAAAAAATGTTCCATCCTATGCCACCAAGCCTTGGACCTGGGGTGTATCTTGGGGCTGTTGAGAGGGCGACCTCATTTATCACAGATGATCTTTGGTATGGCATATTTGCTGGGACAAACCCAGGTAATATTTGTTCCAAGCCATGTATTTTAAGTGATATACTATAACATATATGCTATTGGGATTACACATAATGATCAAAGATATCATAAAATGAGTGTCACTATTATCCAATTTCCTAGTGGTGCGCACACTCATCGTACTACTGTTTTGTAAATAATATTTATATACGGGAAATACTCATGCAGACTCCTCATCTTTGGTGAGGTTTGAACCCTTGACCTCCTAGGAGGTTGGATTACTCTTTGTGCAGCATGTGCTGCCCACCCACAATCCCTAAATGAAAAGTGCCCACCTTCACATATTAAGTAATGAAATAAAGTGGTATCGGCTTTTTGCAGTATGAAAATTGCAACATTTAACTCTATACGTAGCATAAAACATGTATCTGGCTACTAGTCAAATGCTGTCTTTAATAGTGATAAATAGTAGAATCTTGTGGACCTATAATAGCATAATTATTTTGGAGAATAACTTTTTGATAGATTTAAGAATGCCTCTTCCTAATACAAGAATGCCTCAAAACGCGTAAGAAGGTCATGCATTTAAAAGAATGTCAGAAGGTTATTTTCTTAACTAAATAACCCACCTATAACAATACCATACGTATAAATAATTGAGTCATTAGTTAAATGACCTTAAATGATTCTTTATAGGAGTATTACCTTTTAATCTTTTTTAAAATTCAATAATAGTGTGCCTTTGGTGTTAAACACCCTGCCTCTTGTGTAAAACAACCGTGCAACTGTAAAATCTTAAAGAAAACACTAGAAGGTTAGTTTGTAAAAGTAACTTCTTTGGAAGGTCATTCCTAAATAACCCATAAATAATCTGTAATGTTGAGAATGGTAAATATACAACTTTTAGCTTAAACTTTCACCAGAAAAGGGAACGTTGCAAATTTTATAGGATATCATAAAACGGAAATCATTACAATCTTTGTTCAATGGAGGAAGTACGAAAGATCAAACTAACAGTTATATTTTGCACAAATCCTGCAGAAACCTTCGTTCGAGCAGATGGAGCCTTCATCCCTTTTGCTGAGGACTTCGATATCTTGAATGTGACTACATCTGTTACAGGCATTGGCGAGATTGGTGATGTCAAAGTCATAGATTTGCAGTCTCCAGTCAACAGTGTAATTGGTCAACAAGTGACGAAAGTTGGAAGAAGTTCTGGCTTGACCACAGGGACCATAATGGCCTATGCCTTGGAATACAACAATGAAAAAGGAATATGCTTTCTTACTGATTTTTTAGTGGTTGGAGAGAACCAACAAACTTTTGATCTTGAAGGTGACAGCGGAAGTCTCATTCTTTTAACAGGACAAAATGGTGAAAAACCAAGGCCTATTGGGATCATTTGGGGTGGTACAGCCAATCGAGGTCGGTTGAAACTTAAAGTTGGCCAACCTCCGGAGAACTGGACCAGTGGGGTTGATCTTGGTCGCCTTCTAGATGTTCTTGAACTTGATCTTATCACAACCAATGGAAGTCTTCAAGGTTTGTACTTTGCACAGAATCTGTGCAGACTATGTATTATCTTCTTTCTTATATATACCTCATTGATTTGAAGTGAGATGAGTGATTGTTGGTAAAGACTCATGCAGCGACTACCCATTATTTAGGGGTTATTAAGGAGAATAACCTTCGGACATATTTTTTTAAATGCATGAGAGCATCTTCAACAAATTCTCAAAAATAGAGAAAATGGAATTTTTGTTCTCTATTTTGCTCCAACAGATTCTCTAAAATAGATAAAACTCCAAGTTTAGAGAATTCTCTAAAACTTCATACGAGGAGAGAGAAATGATTTTTTATCGTTTCCACCAATGAGATTGAATTATTATCGTTTTATATAATTTTTTTAAAGTGTATTGGGATGATAAAATTATAGAACACTTCGATAATATAATTAACGTTGAAACCTTTAAAAAAGAGAATATGTTGGAGTTGAATGTAATTTCTTTAAGAGATTTTAATTTTTGGTTCTCTATTTTAGAGAAAATAATGGAGAACCCGTTGGAGATGCTCTTACTTTTTGACAGATTTTGAGGCATTCTTAGACATTCTTTGATATACAGAGATTGCAGAAGGTCATGTATTTAAGAAAAATACGTCTGGTTATTCTTCTGATTAATTCATTTAGTGGTTATTTAGTCCTCATTATGTTTATTTATTTGTAACCGGTTATTTCTTGCCCATCCCCCCTCCTCCTTTTCTCCTCTAACATAGTTGCACTGCGAGAACAAAGGAATGCATTGGTGGCAGCAGGGGTTGAAACTGCTATTGGTGAATCATCCTCTCGTGGGTGTATACCATCAGAAAGAACCGGAGAGAATCATCGGTCACTTGATCTAAATGTCCAAAATGCTCCTCCTTTAGAAGCAAAGTTTGTGCATGAGGAGGTCCATGTTGAAGGTGGTACTGATGCTGCTCATCACGTCGAAGAACATCAGTTCATATCAAGTTTCCCTTCACATCAAATTGGGAATTTGCATAGTCGGTCATCATTGAGAGATGGGTCCGAAGGTATTTCTATCGGCTTGCAGTTGGGTGAACCAGAGCCCAAGAGAAGAAAGCATTCTGGTGGTTCGTTGCCTGATGAAAACGCGAAATGAACAACCAACATTTGTGGAATCTGTAAGTATTTCCAAGTTTTACATTCATTTTCATTTTCATTTTCATTCTCATTGGTTTATAATTTTTTGGCCCTGGCATGATATGGCTGCTAAGGTTGCCTACCAGTCCACCACTTGTTTAGATTGTAGAGTTCTTTTGATAAAACAATGGCTAAAATGTTGAAAATAAGTACATTTCTAGTCCAATGCTGTTCAAAACCCTACTGTATTGCAAGTACTACATGATAAATAAAATAAATAGTTCATCACTGTTTCATGTCAAATATTTAAGGAAAATGTTGCACACAATGTTTTTGTTTGCACCTTGGGTTTGCTTCTCAGGGGTCAGTGATTCGAATCCCGTTGGGTTTGCTCCTCAGGGGTCATTGATTTGAGTCCCGTTGGGTTTGCTCCCTAGTGGTCACCGGTTCGAGTCCTAATGGATTTGCTCCCTAGTGGTCATTGGTTCGAGTCCCTTGAGGGTCACTGGAGGTTTGTCTGGCTATTAACTTTAGGGTCCCATGGGATTAGTCGAGTGTGCACAAGCTCTGGGTGACACCTACGGTTATGAAAAAGAGAGCCGAGAAGCATTGGTGCTTCTTCATCCTTTTAGAAAGTAAATGGTTGCTTTTAGGCGACGATTTTTGGATGTTTTTTCTTCTTTTTGCTTTGAGTAATTATCTCTTCATTCGTTATATTGTTATTATTGAAAACAATATTTCAGACATCTTACAAAATCATTAATATAGTTCCTACTTAAATGTCCTATCAGTAAGGGGTGGAAATCCATAAGTGAGGTTTTGGTTTGAGACTCGGGTACCATTCACTTGCCTAATGGACATTGTAATTTCTTTTCCCATGATGGTCGTGGGACCGATATTGATGGGGGTCTTGAGGGTTTTATGATGTAAATTCTTGAACTCATCGGCGTGAAACATGATGTCTTTTTGTTTGCTGACGTGCATCCCATGATCTAGATTAGGTATTGTTGATACTACTAGGGGAAGTAAGCATTGACATATAAGACTATTGGTTGATAGTCGTTTATCGTATTGTGTGGAACGGGAGATTTTACTTGAAGATAGTATTCGATGGATTTTGTTGTAACGTCCCTTTTGTGTATGTTTGCAAAGTGTACATGGTGCCAATACCCCTCTATTTGTTTGGGATCTACGTGGTGCGTATGTATATATAATTCACACGAAAAAATTAGACTGGAAATTATAACCTGAAGTTGAAGGTGTAACAAGTTGATATCATACGGATATCTTTGTCCATTGTGGTCATCTTGAAAATTGGATGTTTCTCCTTTTGTTTTGAGTAATAATCTCTTCATTTCATTACTATTAGAAAAATAATATTTTAGTCGTCTTAGAAAATGATTAATGTAATACTAATGAATGTTACAATTGATAAGCAAGGATTCAGTCTCAAATTTGGACACCCTCCATCTGCCTCTCCGATACTGCAATTTCCTCTCATGATAGTTGTGGGACTGGTATGAGAGCGCTCCTAAGGATGGCATATGCCTAGGAAATAATGATTGATTCAAAATGGATCTCTGCAGATCGGTTTCTTGTAGGTTCATTTAGTAAGTCTATTTTTTGGCAACTATTTTGTTATCTACCTGAGTTGTTTCAACATTAAAAGAATTTGATGTTATAATTGAAGACATGTTTCAGACATGGTCCTCACCCTAACTGGTTTGGACCTAGTTCTGTTTGTATATCTCTAGCAAGGATCTTTGAGTAGACGGTAAACCACCAGTTTCATGACAATGAAAAATTGATTTTAATAGTATAGCTCAAAACATGTCGACGATTTGTCAATCAAATGAATTTATGTTAGGTATAGATTATATAGAAGTTAACATAATGTTAAAAGCCAAATTGCATTAAGCAGTAACACATTTTCATTTTATTTTGAATTTGGTTACTAGATTTTAAAGTCGTCACCAGAAACATCCAATCTTTTAAATCGTTCCATTTTCCCAAAAAAAAATTCACTTTTCCAACATTTTATAGAGTTTTTGGTTAAACTTAATAAAATCATCAACTTCAAAAAAATATAATATTTGTAATAATGAAATAATAAAGTGTAGTAAATAAATTATAAAATTAAGTGAATGAACATTATTATGGTTAAAAATGCACGAATTAACAATCCATTTCATTATTATAACGTTGTATGTTCATTTTTTTTATCATATATATATATATATATATATATATTATTTTGGTTAGAACATTATATTTTGTAAAATCTATCCATTATAATAATAGGTAGCACGGTAACTCTTTATTTATTCATTCCTTATCTATTCATTACAAGTAGTCTGTAAAGAAAAGGGTCGTTTGTGATTTTTCAATAATTTTTGTAGTATTTTTGAAATTTAAACAAATGTGGAGGGTGATTTGTGTAAATATTAAAAAAAAAGCGTTAATTACAGCTGAGAGTCTTCCCACCAGAACCAAACCTCTGAACTCTCTCCTTTCGCCACTGCCACTGTCATCGTCGTCAGTCACTTCCTCTCATTAGCTATTATCTTCCAATGGCGTTATTTTCCATTGAACAATAAGCAAAGATGGGTCGAAAATCTATTGTTAAACCAACTGTGGCTACGATTCTTTTAGTCATGGGTTTTTACGCCGTTTTTAGTACGTCTATCTATAATAATCTGCCTTTCTTAACCCATGAAAATGGTTTCCCTAAAATCCCTAGAAAATTAGTTATAATTTATATGTACGATCTGCCCAGAAAGTTCACCTATGGTGTTATAGAGAGCTACGAACAAGGTCGTATGAATAACGAAGAGGAAGCTAGTCTCGAGTCAGGAAATCAGCACGTGGCTGAGTGGCACTCGTTTTCCGATTTGAATAACCCAGAACGATCTGATGCATATGTTACAAGGGTTTTAGACCCGGAGCAAGCTGACTTGTTCTATGTGCAATTCTTTTCTTCATTGAGTTTGGTGGCAAACGTTGTTCGTGATGGGCCGGATGTAGTGTAGCATTATAGTGATGTGGAGATGCAAGAGGCTTTGATGGAGTGGGTGGAGCAACAATTGTATTAGAAGAGGAACAATGGGAGGGATCATGTGTTTATATGTCAGGATCCAAATGCGCTTCACAAGATTGTTGATCGTGTCAAGACTGCAGTGTTGCTTGTTTCTGATTTTGGGAGATTGGGTCGCAATCAGGGGTCGACTGTGAAGGATGTGATATTGCCATATTCACATCGGATTAATCCTTATAAAGGAGATATAGGAGTGGAAAAGCGTAAATCATTGATGTTCTTCATGGGAAATTGATACCGGAAGGAGGTGTATGTCATTATCTCTTTAATACATCGCAATGTGTATGATAGTTTTACTTTGTACTTCATGTTCCCATGATTGCATAGAAACTTTAGAAAACATGTATATATAATTGTTAGCTTATAAACCTTGGTGAAACTTGAGAAAAGTATGATTTGCATATAAGTTTGTGTATAATCTAGTATGCTAGTGATTCATGGTTGCCATTGAAGTTCCAAATTTGAATAGTAAATCGAGTTCAGATGATCCTCTTCTTATGACAAAAATCCATTTTCCTGTCCTATCAAAATAGGTGGAACAAATATTAGGTAGACAAGACGGGATTAGTAAATAATTAAAATAGCCATGTCAAATTGAAACTGTAAACCTTCCACAATTTTTTCGCGTGCCTACCTCCTCACTTTGGCCCGTATATGTAAAATCTTACCCGCATACCAATTACACCCTAACCAAACCAAATAAGGCCAGTGTACACCGTTCTAGGAGGGGTGTGAAACGTAATCCTACCCGATCTCCACACAAAGAGTAGAGCGACTGTTTTCGTGAATACCCTGACTTGAGCATGTTGTGGGTAATAAAGGACTTTTGAAGAGAACTTGATAACAATAGAGGTGGTGCTAAAGTTTGAAAAGCGAGTTAGAAGTAAGCAACCAAAAATCAAACAAATAAACAAGTCGTCCAAACAGAAGCAAGTACACAAAAACGTAACCAAGGTAGAAAGGATTGCCTACCTTTAGTCTAACCTAGGATTGAGGAGGTCTAACTTCCAATCACTAAGCTATACCTCACTAGGTTCATCCCTCCTGTTTAGGTGAACTATACTGTAACATCCAATTTCTAATATGCCCAATTATTTGCTTAGTATATTTAATTATTGGGTTAAATAGAACTTATGATTTAGTGGGAGTTTGGGTCTGAAGTTTTAGAATTTTATTTCTTAAGAATATATTAGAGGATTTGGAAATTTTTTATGTCAAATTGATACGTAAAACTGATTTTTTTGGGAGATATTTTCTAGAATATTTTTGTTGGATGTTATAGATTATCTCTTTATGAACGTGTAGGCGAAAACATCATAGAAAACAGAGGTCTGAGCGAAAAATTATGAATAATTTAAATATTGATGGTCAAAATGGGTACCTAGCCGGGCCAAACCGGCCCAACTCAAGTTTTAGCATTATAAATTGGAGTTTTGGCCCATTTTTCATGTCATCTAAGTCCAGAACTCACACACACACTAGATGTGCGATTTTCACACACATAGGCTTGATTCAACTCAAATCAAAGAAGAACTACAAGATCTTTGAAGGATTTGATCATCAAGTAAGGTATAATATATTTTTGCACTTGTTCTTGGTTGACATTCTAGTTTTATGGATTGCATGTTGAGATAGAGTTAAGGTTTCATATGGGTTTGATCTTAAGTGTATAAAATGAGTGCATTTTAGTGTTTTTGGCTTGAAATGGTCATTAGATTCAAGAGATTATCAAGATTTATGCAAGTTCATCATATGAACTTTGACTTGATTAAGTCAATGATTTGGGAGATAATATAAATGATAAAATAAAGGTTGGATTTTGGTTGTTTATGTCAAATACGTTATATTAAGTTGAGATTCAGAAGTTGGAATGGTTTGGAATCGAAATGGTTTGAGGAAAATGTATGAAAATGAGAATTTTCGACTTTTGAATGCATTGAAAGTGTGCAGACTTTGAAAATCTGTATAAAATCGTAGAAAAATCCAAATGAGGTGAGACCAATTTTCTTAGTTAGATATTTGAGTCTAGTTTATTTCTTATTTTATGATCAAGGCATGATTTCGAGCTTAAAATGGGCAAAACAGTTTTGCATGTAGCAACTGTACATAGAAATTTAGGTAAAATGTTCAAATAGGATATGTGTATATCATGAGTTTCTTATATTGGTTGCTTATGAGATTTTGTATATTTA